TTTTACTTCATGTACACAATACAAGATGGTGTTTATAACCATGACGTTTTAAAATTTGATGTTTTTTGTAGGTAAACTATCCAAAAAATGAAATTGGTTCGACTCGTGAGGTGAGAAAAAAAACCTATTAATTTTATACACAACATCACACAGTAGAATGTTATAATTGAGTTCTTAATGTACAATGTCCTAATAAGGAAAAAAAACCATCATCATGCGAAGCCAGGGATCATCTACTAGTTATACAATTATTTAAACTTAAAAAGTTAAATATATGGCAACCGTGTTTTTTTCCCAAATACTAAAATATAATATATCAACCTATTGTGTTTTAGTTTATCATGGGTTATTAAAAAAGTATTTTTTAAATTTATTTTAATAACATTTAAGTTAATAAATTTATTAAGTAATAAGAATTTTTGTAAATGAACTTATATATTTTGCTTTAAATAAACAACCCAACGTAACAATACCACAAAGCTTGTTTTAGAATAACACGTGTTTATTTTTTATTAGTGCACATAAAAACATGGATTACATTTTCAGTTACCTGGGACATGCCGCAAATTTACTATTCCAATATTCTAAGTTATAAAGATTTAATTTAAATAAAGCAATAATAGAAATATAAAATTGCTATTGAAAATAAAAACAAAATCATGCATTCTATGTCCATAAAAGAACAACCTAAACTGGTCCGGCTTTCGATTAAGGTAAATCAAGAATTTCGAATTTTGAGTTTTCGGTCTAATTAGTTCATTAGGTTGTTTGGGTTAGGGCTATTGCTCTTTCCTATCTTATCATGAATCTGTCTTTAGAATGGTAATAATTTAGTCAATGTAATTTAATTTATATTTTTAGACAAGTTTTTAAAAGTAAATTGGTTATTCTAAACTAACTTAAAGACTTATATATAATGGAGTTAGATAAAAAATCCACATTCTTAAGAAAATGAAAACGTTTTGGATGTATTCAATATACATCTTAGGAGTTTCTAGCTTCTAGGTTTCAAGAAAATGCTCGAAAAAATAGATTTCTTCGGGCAACTGGAGCAATTAACTTTTAGTCAATACAAAACGCTACAAAATAAAAAGCTACAAGGATAAGTTTTTAACTAAACGCTACCAGCTACTCGCTACCCATTATCCGCTACTTTTACCAAACACGCCCTTTGATTACTAGTATCAAATTGTTAAAACATGGACTACAACTGTACAAGTACTGTTGGAGATTACGTCGAAAAATCTAATTTTCTCTAATGTATAGGTTAATATGTAACATTTTTTTCTTAGGGTAAAATCGTCATCGTAAAAAACATAACATAATTAGTTTTAACTACCCAATGTTTAAATGGGAAATAAAAAGGAAAAATAACGATGACATTACGATAATTTCAAATATTGACAGAACTTGCCAAATTTTATATACGATAGGGACCAAATACGTAAAATATTTTAGGAATATTGAGTCAAAAACATAATCTAACACTTTACCAGGCGGTTCTTATTTAAAATATAATTCTCGCTAAAGTCAATCATGATAACAATGTCCCCCACGTTTTGTACGATGTTATTGAGAAACTACAAAGCTTTTATCTTCAAAATTTGGCCACCCTTTGTGTGTATATATTGTAAGCACTCAAACTTCATTTCACTCCACACATGAACATCCTTCCAATGTCTATCCCTGATGTTTCACTGGCCTCTAAACCTAACTCTTTTAAAGTAATGTTACTTTTAAGTTTAACAAAACTCTATTTTAAAGTACAATCATAACTTGTTAGTAAAATGAGTATTTTCAATAACAGTTCAAGTAAACTATAAGGGGTGTAGTTTAGAGGTTCAATTCATACTAGATGTAATACACGATAACATAAAGAGAACACACAATAAAGAGAAACAGGGAGGTAGATACAATACACGATAATAGAAAGAACATACTAAGATACTATAACATAATGAACATACTAATATGCTATAGCATGGAACACTTACAGGATCTAACTATACCAATAATCACTAACACATTGTTCTAAACAAAATGTCATAACTTATTGGGTATACATGGACATATAATTTTAATGTGGATTACACGGCTAGCAACTAGTTTGCTAAGGTCGCGTTTGGTTCCTAGAATCTTTTGACAAGGAGAGCGTATAGTATGGGAACTAGCCTTCACATTATGACCTTAATAAAACAAACATGTTTTAAGGTATTTAGTACATCAACATATCAATTCATAAGACAACTGAGTACTTATATTTTTCCATTAGTTTCATAAAGTGACCGTTCCACTTGAAAGTTAATACAAACTATTTTCGAGTTAGAATAGTTATAAACTAGGGAAAAACTTACATCTTTTCAAACGATAAATAGAAGAATCGGGTCTAGTACATTCAGTAGAAAGGGACCATAATGCTAACCTTATGATACCTTAATGTACACATCAAGAGATATATATTAATAATATCTGATAGGTAAAAGGATGTGTGCTTTGTGCTTTATTTCATGTTCCTTGCTTGGTTGTGGGCATAGAGCGGATTCACCCAGCCTATTACCCATCTGATCATACTTATATATATATATATATATATATATATATATATATATATATATATATATATATATATATATATGTTCCGTATATATTAAGTCATCTTAAGGAGTACCAATTATGGGTCAGGCCATAAGACACTAATTCAACGCATAGTTTTCTAGTACAAAACATACTTTTCAAATCAGAACTTTTAATATACAAAACTAGAAACTTACTAGTATAGGGTTTATTCCATTTTATTAAACCATCATAACTTAAAGGAACTTAGGTTGTTAACTCTACAATACCACAGTTTATACATCAAGTTTATATATAATTAATATCTAATTGGTGGTTGGATGTATGCTTTCCGCCTCATTCTCTGTTCCATTTTTTGTTGTGGGCTTAGGGCAAATTCACACAATTAACTATCTGTTCGATATTAGATTATATGTAGCTGGTATAAACTAAGTGATTATAGAAGGAACCAATGTGGTTACTATTTTATTATAAGAAATAAGGGTCTTCTTAAAGAATCTTTTCATAAATTATAAAGGAACTGTTACAGGTAAATCCGTGAGTACCAAGGGAATACACCAAGGTTATATACAACAAGGACCTAACAACCAATGTGATGTGCTTCACCCACCTCATTTCCTGTTCCTTCATTGTTTTTGGGCTTAGGACAGATACACACAATCAATTGTTTGTTTAATTTGAGTTTTATATAACTTGTATCCGTTTAGTATTCACAGAAAGGATTGAATATCCATTTTTACTTATCTTTCATCAAAGTAGGAAATATAGGATTTCTGGAGGAACAGACAAACTTTTCTAAACAAAACTTACAATTTACTACAACATACATAAATCACCAAAATCTTATGAACTCACCAGCTTAATTGATGATCAACTCTTTTAAATAACTTGTATTCTCAGGAAACTAGTAGGCAGGTACTAGCAATGGGAATTCAGAAGATGGGGCTGTATAGCTCCAAGTCTTGTTTTGCTATTTGCTTATGTATTATATGTTTTGTGAACACATACTTTGTAAACACTTTTACTTGACATTTGTGAGTGTTCCATGACTTCACAACACCAGCACTGTCCAAACATCTAAAATCTTTCAAATTCTCCTTTCTCCCAAACATGTCTAGTAAGCAACCACTAATGATGTAATATTTCTTATCATATTGCTCGTCACACAGTACCTACAATCATTAAAGGAATTAAGTTACCTAAGGCTACTTGGGTCCTTGGTTATTAGTTTGAAAACGCGAATGAAGTTTAGAACCTAAAGCCCAATTTTGAACTTTGTTTTTGAAAGTATCAATTAATTCGACATCATCAATTAAAGAGATCAAAACATAATTTTTTTATAGTTTTGAACTTTCACTAACGGTCTTCACATGCTTCTCAGTGTGTTTGTTCTTTGATATTGGTTGCCATTTTTGAACTGGAGTATTTGATTCTTTCGAAGATGAATTTCCAGATGAAGTATCATTCAAATACTGTTCATCGACCTTCTGGATTTGATATTGAGAAAACTTTTCTGATTGATACTTTTTCCCTGTCTTTTTTTCCTATCTTTATCATGAATCTGTCTTTAGAATGGTACTAAGTTAGTCCATGTAATTTATTTTATATTTTTAAACAACTTTTAATAGTAAAGTGGTTAATCTAAATTGACTTAAAGAATTATATATAATGGAGTTAGATAAAAAGTCCACATGCTTAAGAAAATGAAAACGTTTTGGATATATTCAATATACATCTTAGGATTTTCTAGCTTCTAGGTTTTAAGAAAATGCTCGTAAATAAAGGTCTTCGGGCATCAGGAGGATTTAACTTTTACTCAATACAAAACGCTACAAAATAAAAAGCTATAGGGAGAAGCTTTTAACAAAACGCTTCAAATTTAAATGCTACCAGCTACTCACTACCCATTATCTGCTACTTTTACCAAACACGCCCTTTGATTACTAGTATCAAATTGTTAAAACATGGACTACAACTCTACAAGTACTGTTGGAGATTATGTCGAAAAATCCAATTTTCTATAAAGCATAGGTTAGTACGTAGCATTTTTTTCATAGGGTCAAACCGTCATCGTAAAAAATATAACATAATTAGTTTTAACTACCCATTGTTTAAATGGGAAATAAAAAGGAAAAATAACGATGACATTAGGATAATTTCAAATATTGACAAAACTTGCCAATTTTTGTATACGACAGGGACCAAATATGTAAAATATTTTAGGAATAGTGAGTCAAAAACATAATCTAACACTTTACCAGGCGGTTCTTATTTAAAACATAACTCTCGCTAAAGTTAATCATGATAACAATGTCCCCCACGTTTTGTACGATGTTATTGAGAAACTACAATGCTTTTATCTTCAAAATTTGGACACCCTTTATGTGTATATATTTTAAGCACTCAAACTTCATTTCACTCCACACATGAACATCCTTCCAATGTTTATCCCTGATGTTTCACTGGCATCTAAACCTAACTCAGATCATGAAGAACATGAAAAAAAAATTCTTACCCTCCTTTCAGATAGTTACAAGGAGAAGTTTACCAAATTTCCAAGAGAAAAAGGCTGGATGGGTGAAGACGTTTACATGTATCAAGGATATTGGTATATCTCGGATCATGCATTCTCAATTGAAACAGTGATGGCTGTGCAAGAAAGATTTCAAGCTCAATCAACTGATATCTACATCGTTACACAACCAAAATGTGGTACAACATGGATTAAGGCCCTCGTGTTTGCTATTGTGAACAGAACAAAGTATAAAAACATCAATCCGTTAAATCACCCTCTGAAAATCTATAACCCCCACAAATGTGTGCCTTTCCTTGAGACTGAAATCATTAGTATCGTTCCCACTTATGTCCATGGAAATTCACCACGTCTCTTCTCTAGCCATATACCTTACAGAACATTACCGAAATCCATTCTTGAATCTGGATGTCGATTAGTTTACATGTGTAGGAACCCTAAGGATGCTTTGGTATCTTGGTTTTACTTTGCAAACAAGTTGACAGATAAGTCTCGTACCCAAATGACCATCGGTGAGATGCTTAATGTGTTTGTTAAAGGTTTTTTGCCATATGGACCTTACTGGGATCATGTGAAAGAGTACCATAAGGCTAGTTCTGAAGATCCGACAAAGATTCTATTTTTAACATATGAGGACATGAAAGTAGATACTGCAAGTAAAGTGAAGCGTTTGGCAGAGTTCTTGGGCTTTCCTTTCACGGAGAAGGAAGTGGCCAATGGTGTGGTGGATGAGATCGTGACACTATGTAGTTTTGAAATTTTAAAGGAAGTTAATAAGAATGGGGATTATCGTAAGGGTATGGCTAATAACACTTTCTTTAGGGAAGGGAAGGTTGGAGGATGGAGAAATTATCTTACAAATGAAATGACCCAGATTTTGGATGACATTACGATGGAAAAGTTTCATGGTTTGGATATCTCATTCTAATAAGGTGCATGTGATGATAAATGGGTATGCAATAACGATCTTCATCATCTATTTTTTTAATTGAATATGTATTACTAAGTGTGTTTCAGTGATTGGCTTGAACAAATCTTATTGTGTAAAAGATATTGTATCTAATAAATGAATGAATTTAGTTACTATAATTTTCAAACACGGCACCTTTTTTTTCTTTTGTACATGGATGAAAGGGTGTGATTGTCTGATTTTTGTGATAGTTATTTTAGGTTTTTTTAGAAGGGAAAAATCATCCATCCAAAAAGAATATTTTTAAAAGCCTTCTATGCCCATTCCTAAATTTTAATCCATAAGACTATCTTCATTCACAACACTATCCGACTTAGTAATTTATCAAAAGACTAATTTTTCTATCTTCTATATTTATAATGCAACTAAACCCAATCTTTTATTCCCATTAGCAAACCACCCCAATTCAATTTTATATTAAAAAAACATAAAAAAAAAACTATATCGATATAGATATTATTTTGTAGATAAAAATTAATCATGTATTTTGGTATATTTAATTTAATTTTTTTACTCAAAATAAGATAGAATTATTAACAAAATTAAATTTAATTACAAAAGTGTATTTCGCTCCACTATTAACAATTGGACACATGGGTTTATCTTGGATTAAAAGTTGTCGTGCTTCAGTGAACTTGGGTTGTGTCTCCGGCCTAGGTCACCGAAAATGTTTTAGTTTCTATTTTCTTTTAATTGAAAATTGACCACCGGCTCATCCGAATTGTCCTAATGGGGTAGTCTAATAGGACCATCTATAAAATAGGTCTTTATTTTCATATGTCTACAAAACCGAGAGGTCAAGATAATAACATACCACAACTTCAACAAGCCACATTATAGACTTGCCAAAATAAGAAATTCACACCGACAGAGCCTTAAATACCACCATTAACAATCTAAAAAGAATTAACAGCTAAAGAATAATCTCATTACACTACAAAATTTGTAATCCCAATGTGAGAAAAAAAACACACAATCCAAATGTTGTGTTGAGATTTAATAGCGAATTCACACCAAAAATTGCACACAGTAAATGCACACAACCCAACTGGCCTAGCACAGTTACCTTTACAGGCTACTAGTAATCGTAGGAGAGGGTCACTAGTTTATGTTATAAATTGGAGCCTTGTTCTTCATCCAACAAAACAATCCGACTTGAATAACTTCTACCACTTTAACTATATAAATTATTATCATTCTAAAAGTACCTTCACTTGTAATTTTCCACCGAAGCCAAATAAGTACCTATTAATGCTTCATGGAATTTGGCTACTTTGGGCCTGTTTGGCAAGTAGCACGTGAGCCTAAACTTGAGAGAAGAAGGAGAAACTAAAGGAAACACGATTAAGAGCATCTGTCTCGGATGAACCTAAAGGAAACACGATTAAGAGCATCAGTCTCGGAATTACATAATAGGAAAGTGTAAGACTGGTCTCAGATACCTTTAAGTGCTAGAATTGAAAAAAGAGGGATACAATTTAGAGAAAACTTCCATATGGAATGATTTATATTGTCAAGGGAAGATGCAAATGACGAACGAGTGATGCAGTGAAATCGAGTCAACTGAGCAACCTTGGCTCTAATACCATGACAAAATTATAAACATGACTTTCCAACATGATAGTTATGTTCAAGCCTAACCAAAACATTTACACGTACAACTACATCAAAAATCTCACAACAAAGTTCCTATCTACTCTCAACAAGAATCACGTAGATATGAATAGATTACAACCAAAGAAGATGAAACCCTAATATGCTAACAAGTTTGAACTTGAGAATATACAAAGGAATTAAATATCTAGTTTAATAATAATGTAAACAATAACCAAACAAACATTATATACATCAGGTAGTAATGACCTGAAAACCCACGTATAAACTAGAACGTAATTATATAATGCACCCTTCAAGTTGTACACATATGCACCTGCAAACTTGTAACAACCCGAAAATTCGTATCTTTGCTTGTAACCCTTTTCATAACTCATTTCAATAATCCAAACGCCGTTTCCAATTTCGTTTCTGATTTCGTCATTTAATTAGGTCATAATTATGGGACTTCTATTATGACCTAATGAGTGTCTAAACATGTTTAGAACTCACATTAGCACTTCATATTAATAATTGGAAACATTTTAGAATTTACCATATCGGGTTACGGTAACTCAATCGGGTGCAACCAAAAGCACCGTATAATGCTGGTATCGGGTAGAGTTCGACCGTGTCCAAAACTTAGGCACTATTTAAAGATGTTTGATCTTCCATTTGAAGCTTTTTCTCTCTCTTACTACTCTCTCTCTCTAACCTCTCTCCTCAACCAAAGATTCAAGGTCCAAAACATTGAATTAAGGCTCCAAATCTTTGAGGTAACATCCCTAACTTGGTTTGTAACCTCTTAGGCCTTCAAATTCGTGTTTAATCTATCATTTTGAACCTGGAACATGTGTTTATAGCCAAGGAGCATGCTTGGGCCCTAAACACATAATAATAGGGTTTTTAAGCACTTTAACCCTTCCAAATCATCGTTGGGACTTAGATATGACCTTATGGCTTACAAACCAGGACTTAGAGCACCCTAGACATGGATTTTGAGGGACAAATAAGGAATGTGCTTGGGACGTAAACCCCTCAAACATGGAGAGTAAAATCATTTAAACATGTTAGAATGCCTTGTAACTTCACCAAAAGCCTTGGAATAAATCCTAGAATCATCTGAAAATAGTTTGGGGACCGTAAACATGTCAAACACCCCTCATTTGAGAGTTTATGGCCATCAAAAATGCTCCAGGGCCATAAACTCCTAATTATGTGTCATTTGATGCCCTAAATTCATATCAATGCTTGGAAAATTAGTTAGAATCACATGTGATTGTCCTAGGCATCACAAAATAAATATGGTTTGAGCTTGGGGGAGTTTACGGCCGTAAACTCCATGTTTACAGCTGTGAAATCCCATAATTGGTTTACATGTTCATCCAATTCATTCCAAGGCATTAGAAAAAAATCCATTCTAGCATTCCCCATGTCCATTTAAGCCATTTAGCACTCAAAATCACCCAATCATGAGTTCACGGCCATGAACTTATGTAAGTAGGGGATATATGGCCGAAAACTCATTTAGGAGTTTACTCTTGAGGAGTAAACTCAATTCCCAAGTCCCTCGCATCATTACACGTTCGTACATGTCACCCGGGTCACTCCAAACACTCGTTTTGAGGTGTTTTAGTTCATTGGAGTGTATTATCATATCTAATTAGTGTTTTAAAGGCTAATTAGATACCTTTGGATACCATTTCATATTACATAGGAACCTCGCGTGTTAACAAGCCCCGAACCAATGTTCAGTGTCCAAAATAGTTGCGCCTTCTCGTCTGGTGAGTTCATACCCCTACCCTTTTTCACTGTTTTCACTGTTTTCAGGGGGGGGGGGATACAAGCAAAGTACAAGCGATACTTGTACTCAAAACTTGTTTTACATGTGAGTGTTTCATATTTCATATTCTTTTGACACTGATAATCATAACGGATAACAGTTTGAAACTTGCAGGATAATCATATACATTATTTGTGAAATTGGTTATAAGCTGTTATGTTTATTATTTCACAAATGGCTTTCCACATTTTTATCAGTTAAAAGCATGACATTTAAACCTTTGAACATAAAACTTTGTAGACTATTTTGTCCTCGGTAACACTCCACAGAGATATGCGAGTGGAGGATCATCGTATTATTACTAGTAAATTTGTTAGTCCTATATAATTGGAGACACGTCCTCAGTGAACACTCCACAGAGATACGCGAGTGGAGGACCGCAACCATAACCAGAATCTGTTAGATAAGGGAACGTGACTTGAGTGTATAGATCTATATGGGGCTGACTACCCCACACCTGGCTGCTAGCTACAACCGAACCGAAATGGTTCAAGGGTGACGAAAGTCATAAGGTGATGTGGACTACTTATTGCCATATTTAGTCTTATTGTATGGTTATGGGACTCGCAATTAGGATAACAAAGATTTATTTAATAGTAATAATGAATTAGTAATTAATTTACTTGTGAATATTAGTTTTATATATGTGTTAAAACTAATACATTTCACAAGATAACTGGTTTTTCAGTATACATCTTCATATTGGTAACCAACATCTCTCACATTAGGAAAATGTGGGATTTTCCTGGGGAACATTGAACATAATCAGAAAAGTGTAACAAACTAGATAACTTTCCATTCACAAGAGTAAACATGTTTTCAGTGTACAACCTTACATTACATTTTGGGAATTCAATAACCAACCTTCTTAAGAAAATATGGGATTTTCTTGGTGTGTGTAACATTTTCAGTAACACACAGTAAACATGTACATTTTTCACAAAACCAAAACCGCTTATGAAGTCATGAACGTTATGCTGATTTTCAAACCGCTTGTATTCTCAGGTCAGCGTTAGACAGGTACCCGAAGATCCTTTTTGTTCGAAGACGGAGTGCTCAGAAGACCCGTTTCATTTTGTTCATATATACTATGTATCACTTGTATAACTTTACTTTTGAAAGAAATGTAAACTTTTCTGTATGTAATGTATTGGTTGTTTTACTTTACTTACTATGTGCATTGGATTTGATACACAATGTGGAGTCAACCCCGTAAATGTTTCCGCCTTCGGTTTTCGGGGTGTGACAAAACTAAACTGAAGAAACAAATAATAGAAAGTATAAAAATAGTAGTTTGTAAAATATCTTTTATTATTTCAACATGCCTGGTCAAACTAAACATTTGACCACTTACTCAAAATATCAACAATTTGATTAGCTGACCCAACTTTAACAGGATTAATGATACCTTATGTAATTTTTTTCTCTAATAAAATAAACATCTATTTCAAAATGGTTGGTTTTATCATGAAAAACTGAGTTAAAGCCAACTTAATTGAAGAATCACTATCACAAAAAAGAT